CCCTACACTGCTCTATTACTGCAATGAATCATATTCTAGAGACACTATCGTAAGTGAGCTGATTTACTAAAGGAGATCATACAACAAACAGTCCATGCCTGCTGTAGATGCATGCAGCTTTTTACTTTTGCTTGAAGCATCACCAAGTTAGTAAAAATTGCTTGGCTACGCAATCCCTTTCGGCCGTAACAAGAATGGTTACCTTTCTACAAAGCCTTGGATGCAAGTTAGTATCAGAAGATTTACAAACCATGTATAGCTTGGAGCTGTATACATCTAGATTTAGGATTAACAAGTACAGCATAAAAGAATCACACAGGAATGACACTGATGCATGTCTGCAGCCGTGTTCACTGCAAAGGCAAAATTCAGTCACTCATATCCATGTCCTCTTCATGATGATCATCCCCGTTTACTTTGGATTCCCTTGATGAATCTCCACTTCCTTTATCGGCAGCAGACTCCTTTCCTTTAGGGGAGGAAGAATCTGCCAGTTTCTTTTCTTCCTTTTTCTCCTTCTCGCTGTCATATCCCTGTTCTTCTTCATCGTAATCCCTTGTGACCTGCTTTGCCGAGAAAAAAAAAAAAAAAAAAAAAAAGAAAAGGAAAGGTAAAACTTGCTTTCAAAGCGCCTGTTGGTTTAAGGTCAATAGTACAGTACGGGCACTGAAGTTAAACAGGTTTTAAAACATACTTTCACATCTTTATCACTCTCAGATTTCCGTTCTCGATCCTTCTCTTTGTCTTTGCTTTTCTTTTTCTTGCTTGTTGACCGCTCCCTCTCATCTCTACTTCTCTCCTTGTCTTTATCCTTCTTTTTTTCCTTTTTATGCCTACAACGACAAAGTGTGTAGAAGAATGAAAACCACAATCACACCATTCCGTAACCAGAACACAGACCATGTCCAGACTGTTAGCCATAGTTCATGACAAATCTCAAGGCAGAAACAGCAGTGTGCAACTACGATAGACTATTTGCTTTCAGCAAATAACCAAACATCCCCATTTCTTAGCTCTGGAACAAACACAACCACCACAAAGCAAAGTCTAAGAAACACCGTGTTAAGGACGGCAGCACTGGAGCGTTTCATGAAGACGCACCTCAAATTCCATGTTTAGGAAGAGAGGATCACAAAATGCCCAGGCCAACCCAAAACTCAGCTGACTCCGATGGTGCAGAGCCAAATGGGCCGGGAGCTCTGGCTATCTCCTACTCCTCACCCCTGGAATCCCTCGTGTTTGGCATTCCTTTTTTTTTTGCTCTATGCTCTAAGTCAATTAAATTAGGATAAAAGTAGTAGCAGGCAGCAGAGATCCCCTCTCTCTCTCTCTCAAGAAGCCAACCTACAGGCTATTAGGAACAATAAGGAACAAGTCAAACGCACACTATCTTCAAAAGAACCCCCCTGTGATCTCTGTCGTCGTTCACACCTTGGGAATTTTCCACCCAGACACCATTTTGGATTTTTTAGCCGAGAGGCTTACTGACCTTCTTGGAGATGGGGACCGGGACATTTTCCTTTTAGGAGACCTGGGTTTTTTAGGTGAACGCGTTCCACTCCTGCTTCTTCTACGTCTTCTTTCCCTGCAGCAAAGAGAGATCAAAGCTTTTTGGTTTGTTTTTTTTGTGGGTTCTTTTTGTTGTTTCCTCCCCCCCCAAAGCTACAAAAATCTCTGGCTCCAAAAGCAGCCCTGCTCAAAAGGTTGTAAATATCCATTTTGAGTTCTGTGTATTTACTACTAGCAGTACTGCAAAGCCCACTCTGTTGATCAGCAACTGCGTAAGTCCTACCTCCACCTTCACAAACAAATTGCTAGCTTAGCCTGTTCTAGGGATACTGACTCTTTTTGCAAACAGAAACAAAACAGTTTATTCTTGTTAATATTGCAGATTAATTTTGGAAGTTTTTTTTTTTTAAAAAGAATGGCATGTTTTGCATGTATTTATTCCATTTTTTTTGTTTAACAGTGACCTCAAAGCATCACGCTCTCCTTGATACAGAGCAAGTGGAAACTATTCTAAGCCCAAACAACACCTCCAGAAAATTAAAGTATCAGGGAAAATAATAAAGCATATACCAAATATACCCACAACAGAATCATCATCCTATCACCTACAAGAATGTTCCATTAAAATGGAAACAGAGACTAAGGAAAACTTTCATGTTACTGTACCTGCTTGTGCTTCTTGATCGTCTAGTTGTGCTGTAGCTTTTGGGAGGTGTTTTAGAACGTTTCTTTTCTTTCTCTTCCTTCTTTTTATCCCTTTTAGTAAAATACAGATTTTAAGTTTAAGTAATTTTCAAACGATTCAAGTAGCATTCACTACTTTTGCTATGTAGGAAAATGAACGAAGACATGGTAACTGCATTGGATAGCACGTACTGTTCGGTATTTCTGGGGCCAGTCACGTATATTAATGGAAACAAAGATTACAATTATCTACAGCAAAATAAAAGAACAGCTCTTTTGTAGCCTCTGTGAACGAACAGCACAAAATCTGCAAGTCTAGATGCTCACATTTCCTGAGTGATTCAGCCAACGTCTGCTGCACCTGTTGACTCTTACGAAAAGCAGGTCACACATTTTTACGTAACTCACTGTGCACATGTATAGGGCAAGTGTAATATAATTCTCTAAGACGTTGTAAGACTGTGACTTTAAAAAGAGCCACTAGTTCATTTTGCCCTATGTTTTTTGTTTGTGGGTTTGTTTCCTCTTTTTTTTTTTTTTTTTTTTAAATTAAGCACCAAAATTTAGTAATTTCTAGCAAGTAGAATTTAATAAATTATTTAGCAAATAGATTTACTGAAGCAATTACCTGGTTTTGGATGTGCTCCTAGACCTTCTGCTTCTCTCTCTGGAATGAGATCTTCTTCGCCTTGGACTTTTAGATCGCCTCCTGCTTCTTGATTTTGAATGGGACCTTCTCCTTGATCTGCTTCTTGACCGTCTACCAGTAACACATTGTACATGCGAGTTAAATATATGAAATTCTGAAAAACTATTCAGAATCCATCTGCTCAGTGCTAACGGTATTGTAATGCACAGTGACAGGGAAAACAGAAAAAAGAATATAGAAAACAGCAAAGGAGTCGCATTTGAGTTCGCCAAGGAAATGGAAAAAAGAAGTGCACAAATGCTAAATGTAAAAGGAACAGTGATGCTTCAACCAGCTCTCTTTATTACTCTCCTTGAAAGAAAGTATCGGTCCTACCGTAGAGGAAAACTAGTAAGTCACGTTGAAACGTGAAGAAATTTTCAGAACACTGAACCAAATACAAGCCAATTACTGAATATGCAAATAGCAAAGTATAAGTGGGAAGGCTGCAGTTAAAATGGTTTCACGCAGACCACTGGCATGCACTGTCTAATTGGAGCTGACAGGCCAACAGCATAAGCGAGCCACATGTCTTTCTGTTTGGGTAAGACAACATAAAGGTCTCTAGTCAGGACACCCGAAGAGACCTGATCTCCGAGTAAATCATAACCTACAAAACACTGGAAAAACTTCTGTCCCAGATCCTTCCACTAAGCTGAATTTGCTGCACACACAGCAAACATACAAGGAGCCCAAAAGGTAAACACTTATGTACCTAAATAACAATGCTCAGAGAAGCCTCCTAGTACTTGGTTTTAAGACAAATTATAATTACCACATGAGCACACCAGAAAGAGACTGAAGAAAGAACAGAGGCTTAAGGAACTATTGTAAAATGGAAAGGCTACAATGGCTTAGGTGTTCATAGTAGCAAGGGCTGTGTAAAACCACAGCTTTGTGCGGAGGTGCTTCTTATCTGATACAAGAAACAATTTACTGTTAAATAAAATCAGAGTCCTTCTTCAGACCATTGGCGTTCCTCCACCTGTCAGCCTCCAGGAGTCAAGTGTCACTTCCAAGAAGTACTTTTGAAGAAATTGTTTCAGCAATGTGGTTTGGGGTTTTTTTTGTGTTTGTGGGTTTTTTTTGTGTGTTTTATTCTTTTTTTTTTTTAAGCAAATAAGCTAACTACCTGTGTCTAGATGAAGAAGGTGTCCTCCTCCTCCTTGAGCGTGACCTTGACCTTGAATGCCTTCGTTTTTCATCTTTTTTGTCTGGAGTTAAAAAGAAAAAGCATAGTAAAAACCCCAATGTTATTTTAGAATTCAAAAAAACTTTATAAAGGAAAGGGAAGCTGTGCCTCACGCTATAGATATAAATAAGATAAAAGAAAACCTGAGGAATATTTTGACATTTGAAATTCAGGTTTTTCTCAAAAGATGATGCAAAGAACAAACATATGACAAAGACATGTATGTGACATAAAACCAACATAAAGTTTAATGCAAAACTGAGGAAGTCAAAATTCAGAAAATGTTTAAGTCAGTCAAAAGATGGCAGCTGCAGGGCAATGGAAAGTCTTGTTAAAGTCTCAGAATCTCTGCCATTTTGTGAAGGGCTACAGAATCTCTCAAATTATTATTTTGAACTTCCCACAAAAAGCCTCAAGCAAAACAATCAGCACATTTTTCTGGTATAATAAAAGAACAGGAGCTCTATTCTTTCCTGAAAGTGATCAGGAGGCTGCAAAACTGTATTTTCAGTGTTCCAAATTACTGCTGCTCAGACATTTGTGGATGAACTGCTGCATCTTGTTCTAAAATAAATTCTACTAAAATAAGCTAAAAAAAAAAATTATTTACAAGTTCCCACAGATTAGGAATTAAAAGAAAGGAAATCATCCCCAAGAACAAACATCACTAAGATGTCAAGTGGTTAAGTCACTTGCTGTTCCCAATGAAATCTCAGAGATGGCAATATGAACTTCAATCAGGGGAAGCTCCAGCATTTTACCATCTTCAAATTGCAGTCTTCAAAAACAACAGATGATTAATTCCCTGCATTCATTCTGCAGGACACATGCAGCACTCACACTGTAGGACAATTAAAAACCTGTCAACTATAAATCAAGTCACTATAGAACATGAAAGCATTAAACCAATATTTTGCAGACCATTAGCTGTTATCACACTCTACATCAAAACTCCATCTTGAATGGAAAGAGGTATTCTACGATTTAAAATTACCTGGCTCTATAGCAGCAGAAATTAATGACTGTGCTTCTCGTACTCTTTTCATAGCTTCTTCTATTTCTTTACTGGAGGTATCTGATTTCAGACTTGGTGAAACAAGACCTGCAGCTACATGGTTCAACCTGGTAAATCAAAAAGAATTTTAGAAATTCAGTACTGATGAATCCAAGAAATACACGCCTGTATTGTCAGTTTGCAGCCTATTCAAAGTGACTGATCTAAGTGAATCAGGACCTGCCTGCGTTTTGTCACCGTTCAGATAACAGAGTAGTAAGTCTAAGATGTGATCGCTGTGCCAAAAACAGTGGCACAGGATACTAGCACACATGGCTCTCAGAATGCCAGTAAACTGTAAAGAGCAGGAAAGTTTGTATTGTCTTGCACAGGTATGTTTCTAACGACACTTTTCGGAACATTTTGGTACAATACAAGTTCAATTCTCATCACCGGAAAGAGCAACTCCCCAGGAAACAGGATGTTACAGAGTAGAAAGTCAGTTTGCACGTTCATAAACCATACTGAGAAGCCTTCAAAGAGCGAGGAAATTTAAAGTTCAGAAGATGTGCTCTACAAGGCTGCTTTGAAGCCAACCAGGTACACCCAATATACCTGACTGATGTTTATCTAATCCATTATCCTGGGTAACTGTTTTGTTCAACCAGTTATACATTCCCTGCTTACAGAAATGTCAATTTAAAATAGAGAATAATATGCCAGAACAGTATTAAAAATGAAGATAGATGACATTACATATATAGCTTTATCCTCTGGTCTAGATCAGATGGCTCTGATGGTTTAAAACCGCTGGAACAGCCAAACTGGGTAAGAAGTCTATTTAGCTCATACAGCAGCAGGGCAAGCACACATTGACAGGCTTTCCCGAAGGCGAGAGCTGAAAGAATTCTCTCAGAAGCTTCCCGTAATTTGCAGTACAAGGGCTTTCTGAGGCAGATGTGGTTTCTTTGCATTTAGTATGCTTTTCGTCTACTAATTTGTCTAATAGCTTTTTGTCAATGGCATATGCTTTCATCACCCTATTCCTATGTTACCAGTAGCTTAACAGCACACTAATACATTAAGTACTACAATCCTTCCCTACTTGCTGTCCCCATGCCATACTGTTTTGAACAAAATTATCCTTTTTCTGAATACTGAAATAAAAATTAGCAAATACTTGTGCTTACTGTTATTTGCTCCCTTTTTCTACCAAGTAATAAGACATGCGGTCTTTTGTTATTTTCTGACAGCTCTAACAAACATAGACTTTTACTGTTGTCGTTTACAACAGTTGCTGGTCTCTGCTCTTTCATTTCAACCTTGCAGGACGTAAGGTGCTAGCATTACGGACACAGAAGTGACAAAAATGACATACGAAAAACTGTCTCTTGAGCAATGTCTCTACATATTCTGTAGAGGCAAGGCTGAATAATCTTCTTTTCCTCCCCCTCCTCTCTCTACCACAGAAAAGAAAGTCTGCACAAGCTCCCCATGACATTAGTTTTCTCCAACCTCAATTAGATCCAGCAGGACAAAGACTGGATACTGAATCACAGCTGATATTCCCAAGATCAAGTGTATTGCAATACAAATATCTGTAAACACTGATGCTTACTTTGGATCCACTGTGCTCATAAGTTTTAGTAGCTGATCTGCTGCAAGAGACTGTGAGAGGGGGGAAAAAAAAAAAAGGTTAAAACCATGTTGGAAGATGTGTATGCTTAAGAAGATTATCTTCCTTTAATGTACCCTCAGCAGTGGCTGAAGCAAAAAGGCTCTACAGATGAAAAAAACCAAACCAAAACATATCCCAAATAAGTTACAGACCAAAAGGTATATTGTTCTGTTTTAAAACTCGCGGATGGTGGTGAGGGTGTGAACGGCACACTTCAGTGGTGCTTAGGTACTTTTTATTTTTCCACAGCAGCCAAACATAGGCCCTTTCCGAGACAGAATCAAAGCACTTTAAAATAAAAATACACCTCTGGTATTTACAGGTTATTGCTCTGTTACTTCAAGGGAATAGAGACCTCATTAGAGAGCTAAGTTGCCTGTCCACAGGAAGTCCTCAATGTCAATTTATGAACAATAAACAAAAACGTCTTTACTCTAAAAATTAAAAATATATAT